AGCCTTGCCCCTTCCCATTCTTTGGAAGGGCATCCTGGCTCTAGAAATGGGGGCAGGAATGGGTATGGGGGCAGGTGTCACAGTTCTCATTGGGCCCGGTGGAGAGAAGCTGGGCTCCAGGTTTGCTGAGGGGACATGGAGCAGATGGCCATTGTGCTGTGAGGGGAGACCTGTGCTCTTTGTCCCAGCCAAGAGGAGACGACATTCTGAGATAATCTTAAGGAAATTCTACCTGTTGTTGCCGGCAAGCCTGCAGGTTGGAAACATGCTGAAGTCATTGCTCCCTTTCCGACGATTCGAAAATCCGTTTCAGTTCATTTAGGACACATGCTCTCACCCTCAACAGCAGCGGGTTATTTTCCACAGCCTATTCTTTAACAGTAGGGCTGCCTGCTCCTCCAGCTGCAATTCTTTTACCCTTCACTGAGGCTGCCAGGAATGAAAAGGGGAGGGGGAGAAGTGGGCGGTGGCAAAAGGCAGGCCTGGGGGAGAGCTGGGACCCTGTGGGCTCCAGCCTGAGGCCGCTTCTCGCCGTCTCCTCCTGGTGCTTCGGCTCAAGGCTGCCAGGTGAGTGCTCATGCTGGGGCAGGGGGCGGCTGGGTTGGCACAGGGCTGGGGGGCAGAGGTGGTGGGGGCTGCTTGGGGCTCTACACTGCCTCCTCCCACTTAACCAATGACCTGGGGATACTATTAAAATTCTGATTTGATTTGCTCAGCTGGGAATGTAGCCTGAGATTCTGTATACCTGGTGATACCAGTTAAAGAATCTATAACGTTTTCCAGGCCAGGTGGGGTGAGATGGGAACAGTGAGCCAGGCCAGCACTGTCCTCAGTGGACATCCTTCACTCACATCTTAACTGTCTGAGATGGGTTCTGCCACCAATGGAATCCTGATATTTTTCTCCAAAAGAATAGAGATGCTTAGAAAAATTCATACCAAAATTGTGATAGTATTAAAAAAATCTATTTACATATTGGAAAATCTCCTCAAACTCTGGGCTTTCCTCCCTCTCCCAACTATTGAGCTCATAGGTGTTGCTCCACCAACTAAAATCTCAACAGGGCTCAGCTACTACCAATTCTCTCCCAAATAGATTTAGCTGCAAACTGTTTCTCCAGTCCTAGAAACAGAGCAGTGTCCTTCGAGCAGAGTTTGGTCAGCAATGCTGAGCCCTCAGCTCCCTAGGTCCTGAAGTTCAGCTTGGGGACTCTGGTCCCTGTGGGCAAAGCTGCAGACATGCTTATAGGAAGAGGGTGTGGGTCTCAGCAAATGAGACAGCTGGGCTGGGGATGGCTGGACAGGTGAGGAAGGCCACAGAGTCCCGGGAAGGCAGGCGAGGAGGGAGGACTGTGTTTAGGCTCTGGCCTGTAGGAAATCCCCTTTGGTCTGCAGACTTTGGGAGCTGGAGCACAAGTTTGTCTGAACACGAGGCCCCAGAATGTGTGTGGAATAAGTGTTGTTTTGGTGATAATAGTCATGGGGCAAAGGACAGAAAGGGAACTCAGAATTAGATGCAGGGGCTCTAAAGCAAGGGGTTCTCAGGCAAGTCCTCTTGTCCTTTATCTGCTTTCCCTTCCAAACCCCTGAAGCGTTGTGGTGAGCTCTGGAGACCACAGTTCAGTTCCTAGAGTCTCTCAGAGGACATTTGGATGTCTGACTACGGGTCTGGTGCCGGCACAGGACAGAGAGAGAAGAACCAGAGACAGGGCCTCTGGAAACCACTCAAATTTCCAACACTTAAAGTATGCCAGGCCTGCTCTGTGTTAAACTGCAGTTCTGCTGGGAATGTGCCAGAAGTCCTTAGACGGTGCTGGGCCTGCACTTTGAAATGAGGAGGCTGAGAGCAAGACTTCAGAATTTACCAAATTAATATTCAGTCTGATAGCTCTCCAGGAGAGCCAGGGCAGAAACCCTCAAAGCCCGGGGCTGCCTCCCCAGGGCAGGGGCCCCCTAGACTTATGAGGCAGGGAGGGGCTGCAGGCTTCCTAACAGATGAGACTGGTTAAGGGAGGGTTTACAACCAGCCTGGAAATGGGTAGATCGCCATGTCCCCCCCCAAATAAAAGCCTTCTGAGATGTTCTAATGGAGACATCTTGCTTTACAGGGCTGGCAACAGAAGCCAGGAAAGGAGAGGAGATGGACCAGTGTTGCCCTAAAGCAGTGGTTCTCCACCATAGTGACTTTGACCCCAGGGGACAGTTAGCAATACTGGGAGACATTTGTGGGTGGGAGGGAAGTGTGCTACTGGCATCTAGTGGATAGAGGCCAGGAATGCTGCTGAACATCTTACAACACAGGACAGCATCCCCTGGGCCCCCAAACAAGAATGATCAGGCTCCAACTGTGGACAGTGCCAAGGCTGAGAAACCCAGACCAGCATTGTTACTTGACCTTTCTTTTGGCCCTCTACGGAGCTCAGTATCTCTCCAAATAAAATTTAATTAAACATTGATTGAGAAACTGTTCCCCTCCCACCCTACTTCACTAAGTGCTATTTTCATCCACTAAGTAAGCTAGTGATTTTGTCATCTTGATTTTCAAGTTAGAAAAACAGAATTTCCTTATATATTTACCTTTTGTTATTGTCAGTTATCCCCTTCTCCTGAATTCTGAAGAATCACGCAATGTGCTTTCAGGACTGCAATTTGATTTTCCTCCGAACCTGTCCTATTGCCATCAAAGTAGATTTTAGTTGTGCTACTGATGATCTTTCTCCTACTCTACTTGTAGTGGGCTTACACATTTAAAGATCCACTTACTCTCATTTTTGAGGAGTCTTGGGAATGAGAGGAGAGAAATCTCTATCTTCTATTTGCCATCTTTATTCATGAGGACAATTTTGCATCTTTCTGGAGATTGAAAATAGGTTTCTTCTAAAAATTTTCACCCAATTTTATGGAAAAGAATTTTCAGTGACCTGATATACTTCTCAGTCTTCACAATCAATGATGGGGTTAGAAAGACAGGGGCTGAGGAGCAGGCAGAGGTTCAAACTCTTGATTCCAAGTTGCTCAAAATATGGTTTCTCACAGTTCGTGGATGCTGACATATTTGTCTGGTCAATTGAAACCTTTGGCAGCATCTTAATCCATCCCTTCCAGTTGCACAGAAGTGACCATTCTGCCCAAGTTTTGGCATATGGCCTATTCTTATCTATAGTTTATGACATTAATGCCCATTTAAAATTGTTTTGTGCACCTTTGTGGGTATTATAATTGGGAAGCTGATATGAGACAAATTAAGCATGTTTCATTGGCTGCCGTATGAACTTAGAAATCCAGGTTATTATTATTAGAGTTAAAAGGGAGAAACCTAAGCAAGTTCATAGTCAGAGAGAAAATAAGGGTGGTCTGAATTACAGGAAAGATAGTTTAGGGATCAGATCCTTGAAGAAGCCAGAAAGGAGAGACCCAAGGACACCTACTTGGAAGGGGGAGTAGCCTTGGACAAGTGTAGGGCCAGTTCTCTTTCTAAGGTACTATGGAAGGAAGTGACTGTGAAGGTAAGAGAAGTAGTAGCTTCAAGGTTTCACATTAAAGAGTCTGTATTTTCTCTGTAGAATAAAAGGTTTGCATGGTCTTCTAAGAGTGAAGGGAACAAGGTCTGTAAGAGTTTGGCTTAATGGTGATGGTTAGAAATAGTGACGGCATTGAGGAAGGCTGCTAATTGGGACAAAGATAAAGATGACAAACTGGGCTGGTAACACAAGGATATTTTGTCCAGAGAATTGAGAAATTGCTAAAATCTGTTCCTGACCATAGTCACCTCCTCACTGTGAGGGAGATATGAGCTCAAGGAACAATAGCAAAGGAGAGTCAAATTTTAAATTTTTTCCAGTTAGTTCTGGCTTTGATTCCAAACCCCTTTACATTTAACTAGTAGATTCTGCTGTGTTTTCTTAAAAAAAAAAATTCCCCTTTTTCTGCGTCTAAAGAACATTAGACTAAAGCAAGCCTTGACACTCACTCTCCTCATTTGATCCCCATGAAGCCCCCTAACCTACCCACATCTCAGTTTTACTTTGTGATGGGAGCAGAGGCCAGCCCAACACACCTGTGAGCACTTGAGGGCATGGAGGCAGAGAAAGGCAGAGACTAGCAAGAGAATGCACGCTCCCCCAAGGTCAGCACTGATTTTGTTCAGATGATGCTGACAGCAGTTCCAGAGCTGGCTGCCATCACCTGGGGACATATCAGTTTTCAGAGGACACAGGTCTTTTGCTGTTTAGCCTATTTAGGGTGAGAAGGAAGGAGAGAGAGAGAAAGACAGACCCTGGTCTCTACCAAAGGCTGAGAGTTCCTCTCCACTACAGTGGGGGACAGAGGAGAGAGCCACACCCACACTTACTATTATTATTTTACATAGATGATTCCATGAACGATATAAATAGGTCAATCAGAGTCTCAGCATCTGATCAGCCAGAGCCTTGGAGAGGAGCAAGAGGCTTGCCTTCACCCATCTTTGGATTAGGAGTGAAGAGGTGGCCTATAGCTCCTCCTAAGGACAGTGAGCAACACACCTACACTCATCATTGTCTTCCGCTCAATAACAGGATGTGCGGCAGGTTCCTGAGGCGGCTGCTGGCCGAGGAAAGCAGGCACTCCACCCCTGCAGGGCGCCTCCTTCTTCCAGTGCTCCTGGGATTCCGCCTCCTGCTGCTGGCTGCCAGCGGGACCGGGGTCTATGGTGACGAGCAGAGCGAATTTGTGTGTCACACTCAGCAGCCAGGCTGCAAGGCTGCCTGCTACGATGCCTTCCACCCCCTCTCACCACTGCGCTTCTGGGCCTTCCAGGTCATCTTGGTGGCTGTGCCCAGTGCCCTCTACATGGGTTTCACCATGTATCATGGCCTCTGGCATTGGGAAGACTCAGGAAAAGTGAAGGAGGAGGAGGAGACCCAGATCCGACAAGGGCCAGGCAGCACAGATGCCCCAGGGGCTGAAAGCGCCAGGCTGCTCTGGGCCTATGTGGCACAGCTGGGGGTGCGACTGGTCATTGAAGGGGCAGCCTTGGGAGGGCAGTACCATCTGTATGGGTTCAAGGTGCCTAGCTCCTTTGCATGTCGTCGAGAGCCTTGCCTTGGTAGTATAACCTGTCATCTGTCCCGCCCCTCTGAGAAGACCATCTTCCTAAAGACCATGTTTGGAGTCAGTGGGCTCTGTCTCTTCGGTACTCTTTTGGAGCTTGTGCTCCTGGGCCTGGGGAGATGGTGGCGGACCTGGAAGCAAAAATCTTCCTCTTCCAACTACTTCACAACTTCAGAGAGCACCAGGAAACACAAGGAACCAAACGATAACTTCCCAGTGGTGGAATCAAAAGAGCAGTTCCGAGTAGCAGGTGAGAAGGGCACTGAGGTCCCTCTTCCTTCTTTGCCTGATGTCTCTGCCCTGATGATCCTCTCTTGGTAGGTCCTTACACTCTGGGAAGTACAACTTCCACATGTTACAAAGTAGTAAAAGGTGAAGAGGTTAAGCAAAAACAAAACAAAACAAAACAAAAAACACCTCAGACACAACAGTATGGTGATTTCCAGAGGAAAAGGAGAGTGGGTGGAGGTAGAAGAGGGTAAAGGGGGGATTAGTGATGACGGAAGGAGACTTGACTTGGGGTGGTGAACATACAATACATACACCGATGATAGTATAGAACTATGGATCTGAAACCTATATAATTTTATTAACCAATGTCCCTCCAACACATTCCATTTAAAAAAAAGTAGAAAACCAGGCTCTAGGTAGATGTTGTGACCACTGCTCCCAACCCAACCCCCATCCCCATCAATCTGGTGACTCCTTACAATGAACCAGGACCAGAGTGCTCAGTCAGTTGTACCTCCTTGGCCTTCATTAATGTCTCTTCCCATTTAGAAATAGTCTCAGCTGCTGCTTGATTCTCTATTTTGCAGAGTTATAAGGACACCTGGCTCAACTCTGAAGGAAACCTATGACTAGCTCTTCTCTCCAACATCCAGTGAGTGGAGATTTACCGCCGTGACAAGTGAAAGGTTGTTGAAGCATCTCTAAGGGCCATGTTGCCTAAAACATTTCCTTGAAGGAGTCCTGCTTGTGCCTTCTCCCCAGAATTCTCTGGTGTCAGCACCGCAATTTTCATGGGCTATGTTCCAGAGTCAGCCAGCAGAAACCTCCACGAAACCATCCCTGACCCTTGTCCTGTGCAATAAAGATTGACTACTGTTGGTGGCATTCTTGTTGCTAAGGACAATCCTCCTTCCTGTCTCAATGACTCTACTTATCTCTCTTCTGTTGTTCCACATTCTCTGTTCCCCCAATTTCAAAGTCCTGTAACCCTGAATGCCCCCAGCCTTGCAGTATAAGTCATATCCAGAAACTCTGGCTTTCCAAGCATATATAATCCAGTGCCCTTTAAAATATAGATTAGATTTATTCAAACACCTGGCCATACCCATAAGACTGTTAATTCAGAGGCTTATGTCCCCTGGACCACAGACAGCTCTGATTTCTGCTCAATTCTCATTCTCTTCGTGGTTCACGGCAGCTGCTCCACTGGATCCAGCACATAGCACCTTAAACATGAAGCCAAGTCCCTACTTTTTAAACTCATACCCCTCAACACCACACAGAAAAGACAGAGTTCTACTGCTGATTCAGGGTAACAGCAAGGGGCGTTTACATCATAGTGTGATTCAGGAAATGATTTAAAGCTGAATGGCAGGTTTCTTTTTCCTGAGTCTCTCAGTTGTTTCTTTCCAAGAGCATTCTAGCCTCCCACTTTTTTGCAGAAACGTCTTGCCCTCAAATTCTCAAGAGCAGTGAACTAGTTTTATTTTCTCCTCTGAATCCCAAATTATCCCCAAGTAAATTAAGAAGGCTCATCCCTAAGGAAAGATATTTGGTTCCTTAAGAGACACTTTGGCAACAACTAGTAAAATAATTTTTCTTTCTGCTACACAAGTGTTTCATAAAGAATCCCTTATTTGCTATAGCCAGAGCTCAGCTAAATGACCAAGGATGGAAAAAAGCAAATGTCATTATTCAGAATTCCTCCTTGATAGCATCCTTTTTAAAACAGCTTTATTAATATCTATATATAGCTATATACCATGTGCCATATAATTCACTCACTTAAAGTATACAATTCAATGTCTTTTCATACAGTCACAGAGTTGTGTATCCATTAACACAAACAATTTTAGAACATTTTCATCAACTCAAAAGGAAACCCTATAACCCTCAGCTATTACCCCCAAACCCCCATAACTCCTGAACATTGCTTTGGCACCCTTGTTGTATGATATTTTTTCTGGACTCTCAGTTTCATTTGTGGAGGAGACTGTTCCATGACGTGATGGCTGTGGATCCTTAACCTAGATCCAGTTAGATCCAGGCCAGAGCAGAGATTGCTTCCCATAAATCCCCTCAGAGAATGTCTGATCAATCTCTACCCTATGTCCCAGGCATGCTGGTTCCTGGAACAGGCCTTTGCCCTGAGCTGGGAAAGCATGTAAGACATTTTCCCCTTATTTGGGGCTGGTCACACCCCAATTCCACTATCCATCCTACCCTGTGCCTTTAGTACCTGCCATGTGGCATGGAGGCTATCCATGTCTTGCTGTTGCCCAAGATATGTCTCGTATGTAAGTTCCCTTAATAAACTCTTGATGTAAAGCTGGAGTTGTCAGCCTCTTTCTCCAGTCTCTCAGACCAAGGAAATTTTCCTAACAGTATTCCATTGATGTATATGTCTATCTTTATGCCAGTATCATGGTTTGATTACCGTAGCTTTGTAACAGGTTTGAAATTGGGAAGTGTTGAGTCCTCCTGCTTTCTTTTTCAAGATTGTTTGGCTATTTGTGGTCACCTGAAATTCCAGATGAATAAAATTGTGAATTTAGAAGGCCTCAATGTTTTCAGTAAAGGACATTCATTTTAGGAATATGGCAGGATTGAAGACATAAGGACCTTAATGAGACACAGGGCCTCATTTCTGTCACTCAATACAGACATACGTTCACACCACAAACACTCATAGCAAACATCAGTAACTGATAAGAGCACTTCTTCCTCCTTGGTCCATATTAAGACCCAGGGTCCTTCTCAATATAGTATCCCAATTTACAAAGAAATGCATTTCTAAATTGCAAATTTACACATTTTATTTATTTATTAATTTTGAGAGAGAGAGAACATCGATTTGTTGTTCCACTTATTTACACATTTATTGGTTGCTTCTTGTACGTGCCCGGACCGGGGATCAAACCTGCAGCTTTGGCACACTGGGATTACGCTCTAACCAACTGAGTTACCTGGCCAGGGTTATAATTTAAACATTTTAAAACTAGATACCTTGTGGTACTTTTATAAAAAAACCCAAAACAGAAATTGCAGAAACCACCTTTCTAAATCATTTAATCATATGTTCAGTAAATACTCACTAAGCATATTATGGGAAAGGCAGTGTGAGATATTGAGACACAAGAAGAATTAAAACTGCATATGTAAAGGAATAAAGTAGGAGGAATACAAAACAAAGCCCCTCAGAAACACAAGATCAAAAATTGATTGAAGAGATGTTCCTTGGGACAGCAAAAATGGTTGCTGTCTTCAAGGTGGGTACCAAAAGGCAATGTATCTGTGCTTCTGAGTCTTAACCACTCCCACTTAAAAAACTTCATATCCTTTCCACCCACTCTCCTGGTCTTTCACAATGTCCTCACAACTACAGCTTCAGCTCCACTCTCCAAGCACTGCTCTCACGCCCTGGTGCTGACCTCCTCAGGTAGGAGGCTCAGAAACCAGCAGCTACAGGGCATCTGAGATGACAGGCACTCATAGCAGATCACCCAGAGTTGGCTTAGAACATCTCAGCACGATGACCTCCCGTGTCAGGAACCAGCCTGAAAGACAAACAAACCTGAGTTGGAGCGGTGGAAATGAAAGAGACAGACAAAGTTAGGGGATCAGGAGAGCTGCCCTCTAATGAGGAGCAGCACCAAATGGCTTCAATGCCTTTATTATATAGTAACAAACAAGTGATAAGGAGGTGAGGGTGATACAAACTAGTTCCTTCAAAGCTGCATAAACACTCTTTCAGAGTAAACATCCTGCCTCCTGCATGAGCCCAGACCTTGGTAATTATCTTTATCTCGGCTCCTTATGGGAACTTGTGGGGAGGGCTGAGTCCTTGGCTCCAGGCCCTCAGGCTACGTGGACCATGTCCAAACACCCAGCGGGCTCCCAACAACAAGGGTAATTGTGGGGAGGGTCTAGTCCTTGACTCCAGACCCTCAGGTGACGTGGACCACGTCCAGACACGTCACTGGCTCCCAACACTCCTGGGAGTAGATCTATGGAAAACACTGATGGGACGTCAAACCTGGGGAAGACCAGCTAACCCTAGATTCCTTCCCTTAATTACCAGAAGCCCCATCAGCATTGGGTGATTGCGCCCCATGCCCTGAGAATGGGTTTCCTCTACCTGGAGTCTGTTTCCTATGCTTGGGAAGAAAGGGAGGGAAATCAGGGCGACAGGACGATCAGATGGCTCCCCACTAGCTCCTGGGGCTAAACACTCCCTTTCCCGTTCGCCTCACAGAAAGCTGGCTCTCAGCGGGTGGGCTTGATGGGCTTTGGTGGGGAGTAGGATATCCTGCTTCTCTAGGAATTCAACTAGACCTTGGGGCTGGAGGCTGAGCACGGGTTCCTTTCCCTGGGGAACGAGGCTGAAAAACAAGGGACTTCAGGGAGAGCGAGCCTAACGGGCCCGGCGCCTCCTCAGCCCCACGCAGGGCCCAGCTCCACAGACCCCTCGAGTCCTCTCCGGGCGCCACAGCGCCCTCCTAGGGGCAGCTTGCCTAGGACTCCAGCGCTCAAATCGCCCGAGCAGCCAGTGGCTCTTAACCTCGCCTCTCAAACCTGGTGGACAAGCCAAGTTCGTTAGCGCCTCGGGTTGAGCGCCACCCGCTGCAGCCGCACCGGCGGAGTCGCCGCCCTCGGGCGCCCTCCCAAACCGAAACTTGCCTCGCTTCCGCTCTAGGCTTCCCCCGGCACTTCCGCATCTCTGTGGTTGGCCCGAGGAGCCGCTCACGCCCCGTCAGGCCGGGTGTCCAGCCCTCGGTAGCTCCGCAGCTCGCCC